CAAGGTACTGATGTATAGACTGTACAGATTCTGAACCTTCTCGAAATGTCTTGGAAATGTGATGAATTAATGACTAATGTGTCAACATACTGTTCACAAAAAATTGCTTTGATCCATTTAGTAAGTCGTTTTCTAGAATGATTTGATTAAAATGCCTCTCTGATTTTGAAATCGTACTGACGTTTTTTTTTATCTTTTGAATAAAGTATAGATACTCTTTGTATATTTTTTTTAATAATTACAACCATTTAGAATTCTGAATGGTTATTGATAAATAGAGAGTGAAATGGGGATTAACTTCCACTCACATCACACTAGGTCATTTATGGACTAAAATATGGTTCAATTTTATTTCAATAATTCGTTTGCAGTTGGGGGTCTTTAGCAGCGGGGAAAACCGGATGACCTGGAGAAAACCCACGAGAATGGACAGGCTACCCTACGTACAAGTGGGGAATCGAAACCACGCTACTTAATTCAATGACAGTCATGCGTTAACCATTTCACCACCGAAACCTCTAGGAGGAAATAGGTAGAGAGGAATCGGGTTTAACGTCCAATAGGCAAAAACTTTCATTTCGGGCCTACGATTCAGTTTCAGTTCAATAATTTGCTTGCGCCAGGAGTCCTAAGTAGCGGGAGGACCCAGAGAAAATCTACGTTCACGTCTGATATCGAAACCAAGTCCCTTGTATCAATGACAGACCTTAACAAAAGTGTATGCATTAGACCACTCAACCATCCAGCCCTTCCTTTAGTTAAAGAACATTTGGTTATTGGTTGACTGAATTTAAAATTTACAAGGCCAATAATAGATTATTTTAAAGGTTTCATTTGCTCATTTGACATTAGAATTGCATCCGAAAATGATGTTTATTTAAAGTTAGAATTAGATTCAAATGGTCGGTTAAGATGCATAGTGTGTAGAACCGGTGTCAGAGCTGTTAATAACGGGCTTCTGCGTTAGAATATCCTTCAAGCAAGTAGAAAAGCTTAATTGTGGTTACTATTCGTGAAAACTTGTGAGAAATATACGTGTTGTCAGTAGTCGCTTAAACCCGTGATTACTTGCAACGGACGTCAGTATTCCTATAAATGGTCCATAATAGCCATAAGGTGAGTATTAGACCGGGAGCCCAGGAGGTTAGCCTAGCTGAAAAGTGTACCAATTTTCACATATATGGTATCAAAGCATTCATATCTGGTATCATCAGAATGTTAGTCTGCCGAGTATCTGGTGGTGGGTGTGGCTGTGAGGGCTGGGATTCTGGGCATGAATGCTTGGGCTAGATTAGCTCAAAAGTGTACCGCATGAAAATGGTACAGCAGTGTACCTTACATCTTCAAGTATTACAAAAACATTTTGACAGACATTTCTAGTGGTGGGGTACCCCCGACAGAGTTATGTAATTGCCAGTCCACAGCTAGGCTAGATTAGCTGAAATCTGTACCACTTAAAACTGCTTTTGAGTTGTTCAGCACCACCACAAGAATCATGAATGATCACTTCCGGACAGTTACCCCTAACAGAACAGAACGCCTGCCAGCTAAGCTAGATTAGCTTAAATCCGTACCGCCTAAAACTGCTTAGAAGTCGTTCAGCATCACGGGAATCATGAATGATCACTGCCAGACAGTTTGTGCGGTGGACTACCCCTAACGCACATGCCCAAAATGCCAGCCCCGCCCCCTCCCCACCTAGGCTAGATTAGCTGAAGCCTGTACCACCTAAAACTGCTCGGAAGTTGTTCAGCACCACAGGAATCATGAATGATCACTGCCAGGCAGTTTGTGCGGTGGGTTACCCCTAACACTAACAGACACTCCAAAATGCCACGCCCCCAACTAGGCTAGTCTAGCTGAAGCCCGTACTACCTAAAACTCTTGGAAGTTGTTCAGCACCACCACATGAACCAAGAATGACCACTACAAGACAGTTTGTTCGGTGGGGTACCAATGACAAAAAGCCCAAAATGTCACGCCCCGCAACAGGGCTACACAAGCTGACGGATGATGCCACCCTGGGGAAATTTTAATATTCAAGATGGCCGTCATGAGACATTTTCTGGTTATTTACTTTAATTTAGTGGGGTAAAATTCGGGAGAGATTCTCTCGAACCTTGGTATGAAGGTAGTTTCTATAAGAATTTGACCCAAGCTTGGGTGTTCCTCCTAAAAGTGACTGCTAATTCCACTAGGAAGCCAAATTCACAATGGGGGATCATTTTTGAAGGAAACTCATAATGTTCCCTAAAACGGCGTGTAATATATTGAAATATAGGTTTTCGTTGTCAATTACTCCAAATATAAACATAAACCAGCGGCTGTCAGGCAGGATAAGCCCACATTTTCGGGAGATTGATAGAGAACAAGCTAACAAGAAAGTGATTTTTCCTACAATCAAGGGCCATAATTCGGGAAATTACCATTTGGTATGTGAATATCGAAAGGAACTGAGATTTTTGTGTTATAAACTTACATTTCAAGTTTCAACAAAATCGGATAAAAATTGTGACCTCTATAGGGTCCACAACCTTGATATACCATATTTTTACGCTATTTGAGAACGAACGGCGGCCATTTTGTCTGTCAATTTTGGGCCGATTTTCACGAAATACGAACTTAGGGTGTAACGGTGATATAATAATACGGTTTTTTAAATCGGATAAAAATTATGACCTCTATAGGGTCCACAAGCTAAAAACGCGATTTTTCGTAAAATCAGGGGCCATAATTCAGGAAGTTACGGTCCGATATGCGCGAATATCGAAAGGAACTGAGATCTTTGGGTTATAAACTTACATTTCAAGTTTCAACAAAATCGAATAAAAAGTGTGACCTCTATAGGGTCCACAACCTTGATATACCATATTTTTACGCTAGTTGAGAACGAATGGCGGCCATTTTGTCTGTCAATTTTCGGCCGATTTTCACGAAATTCGAACTCAGTTGTCCTTAGGGTGTAGCGGTGATATAATAATACGGTTTTTTAAATCGGATAAAAATTATGACCTCTATAGGGTCCACAAGCTAAAAACGCGATTTTTCGTACAATCAGGGGCCATAATTCAGGAAGTTATGGTCCGATATGCGCGAATATCGAAAGGAACTGAGATCTTTGGGTTATAAACTTACATTTCAAGTTTCAACAAAATCGACCTCTATAGGGTCCACAACCTTGATATACCATATTTTTACGCTAGTTGAGAACGAATGGCGGCCATTTTGTCTGTCAATTTTCGGCCGATTTTCACGAAATTCGAACTCAGTCGCCCTTAGGGTGTAACGGTGATATAATAATACGTTTTTTTTTAAAATCGGATAAAAATTATGACCTCTATAGGGTCCACAAGCTAAAAACGCGATTTTTCGTACAATCAGGGGCCATAATTCAGGAAGTTATGGTCCGATATGCGCCAATGTCGAAATTAACAAAGATCTTTATGTTATAAACTTACATTTCAAGTTTCAATAAAATCGGATAAAAATTGTGACCTCTATAGGGTCCACAAGCTAAAAACGTGATTTTTCGTACAAACGGCGGCCATAATCCATGAAATTTCGATCCGATACATGCCAATATCGAAAGCAGTCGAGATCTTTTGGAGATAAACCTATATTTCAAGTTTCGTCAAAATTATACACGGTCAACCAGAATCAACCATCGGGACATCGTGAGTCGAAAGCAAATGTTTATAAAAGCTAACTAGGCTTGTCCAGCCTCATGTAAAAGTCTAACTTACGCTCGCTTGAATCACTTGAATACTCGCAATCAGTATAACAGTCTGATTCTGCCGCTTTAATCAGTATCATGCAACGGGGGTGAACCTTGTCTTGACAATTATTAGGTCACTCATACGCGCCGGTAAAGCTGAGGTTGGCAAACATTTTCCATCCCTTCTTCCCCTTCTGTTTTTTGGTAGAGAGGGTGACCGCGACTGGTGTCATAGTGGATCATAGTGTATGCTTGACAATTCGCTCTATGAATTCGGCGAATCAGAAAGCCTATAGTTTAAAACATTACTAACATCGTTATGTCTCGCCAAAATTGGCCGCCATTTTGAATATGACCTCAACCTGGAATACCCTTTGGTCGGAACATGTTTTTATGTTTATATCTGAAGTAACTGACACCGAAAACCTATATTTTAATATACATGTACTGCACACCTTTGTTAGGGGACTATAATGGTTTCCCTCCAAAATAAGCCTCCATTTTGAATTTGGCCCCCTAGCGGAATCAGCCATCACTTTAAGGAGGAATAGCAAAATTCATTTGATTCAGCGGGCCAAATTACGATAGAACCAGCTTCATACAGAGGCCCGAGAGAATCTGTCCCGACTTTTACCCCACTAAATTAAAGTAAATAACCAGAAAATGTCTCATGTGGGCAATCTTGAATATTTAAATTTTCCGAAGGGTGCCAGGGTGGCATTACCCAGATTCTGAATCTACACATATTAAAGATATATAATCCACTCAAAACCTACATTTCAATATATTGCACATCTTTTTAGTGAACTTTATGAGTTTCCCTCTAAAATGAGCCTCCATTTTGAATTTGGCCCTCTAGCGAAATTAGCCATCACTTTCAGGAGGAATACCCTAGCTCATTGGATTCAGCGGGTCGAATTCTTCTAGAAACATATTCAAACCGAGGTCCGAGTACAACTGTCACATATTTTACCCCACTTAATAACCAGAAACCGCCTCATGTCGGCCATTTTGAATATATAAAATTTCCCCAATTCTGAATCAACACATATAGAAGATATATAATCCACCATTAAACATTAGGCGGACTATATTTCCATGTCAAGGCTTAAAATAGGGTTTGGCAACCGGACTTTATGGTTCGTATGTCAGTGGTCACTGAGTTGAACACTGAGCGCCATGGAAAACGCATCACTTTTTTTCCCAAATATTTTATTACTAGGTGGTTTTGTATGTAAAATATTATGCAATACTATGAACTATTGTTTCACACAATGCTCCCAAACGCAAAAAATATCGGCTCGTGTGCAAAAAAAAAATTGCACGGGATGCACATGAAAAACCCAATATTCACGTGCAGCATTGTGTGTGAGCCCTTTAAAAGCATGTTTTCAACTTAATGTGCAGTACATGAACTGTGAAACGTCAATCTGTCGTAATTTGTTGGACGTGTAAAGGAATCGAGCTAGAGATGCCGAGACTTACTGACATATGTAGATCGGTTATCCGTGTCTAAGATATCTTTCAGATTTTTGTCCAATTCTTCTTTGAACATACCCAAATCCTTCACGGTTCAATGTCAGAATTATCGGAAAAGATTGCATTTTGATCCAAATTTTCTTCAGCCTTTGACTATCAACTGACTAGTCGATCGATCTATTGGCTAAAAAGAATTGATTATTCATCTGATAACGTATTACTATCCATTTTGTTTATGCGTTCAATTTCATTGAACCTATGTTTACTTCAAAATGGCGACAGTATAAACACTGCATTCACGTGATTAATTCGGTAATTTCCGTTATTTGGCGGAAACTATCGAGCAATTATCCAATCATTGTTGAATTTTAATAGAAGAGCCCATTTAATTAAAGCGTGAATAAAACTGTATATGTCGGATATAAGCCTTCTCTTCCTCAGATTGATATGATAGAGAACTCTTGGGCTTCGCCCGCGCGTTCTCTATCATATCAACCTCGAGTAGGTAAATATCCTATGCACAACCCCCCTCAGTTGTTCTTTCTATTTACATAATGGACAGTCTTCGGCCATTATTCATTACTTAAGGGGAATTAATAATAAATTATAACCGGAACTAATAAAGATTAGGTTTAAAACATTAATTAATAAGGGCATTCTTAAATGAAAGAAAATAAGTTTATACTAATAACAAATACCAAGTCAGTTCCTAAACAATTACACTTTGAATTGCCTCAAGAAATTTTCTGGGTTTTTTTCTGGTGCTGGTTCGCGGCTAGCGCCCGTGTTGGATTCCCATTTACACGATGTTGTCTATTATTGCTTAGATGTTGGGCTACTGCTGATTGGGGTTGTATGCTACCAGGGATTGGTTTTCTTGAATTCCCAGGAATCAGATCGTAGAATTCACTGTTGGCGCCATGATTGCTTATTCTCGATGTCTGCTCTTTAACTAAAACACTCAGAAATTTTAATTCGAGCATTCTCATCATTTTACAATCGTTGAAAAAAATTGTAAAAGCCCTACTCCATTTTTCTTGAATTCCCAGGAATCAGATCGTAGAATTCACTGTTGGCGCCATGATTGCTTATTCTCGATTTCTGCTCTTTAACTAAAACACCCAGAAATTTTAATTCGGGCATTCTCATCATTTTACAATCGTTAAAAGAAATTGTAAAAGCCCTACTCCATTTTGTGTCAGCTACCCACAGATACGTTCCGTTTGAAGTCGCATTTAAACAAAACTGGGTCATTCGCTCACGTATTGATATAAATATCGAAACTTCTTCATTAAAATTAAAAGACTGATGCTTAACCAGCTTATCAAATTTTTCATAAAAATAGTCATACAGAATGTAATCCAATTCTGAGAATTTTTTAACTTTGTCCATCAGGGTAGAATTGATGTTATTCTTGGATTTATTTTTAAAAGCATTCAGCTTTATGTACAATATATCCTTGAATGACCAATTTAACATTCTTCGTAAAAGTATCATAGATTCATCAAATCGTTCAGTTATCATAACTAGATCGAATGTTAAGTTCAAGTCCTGCACGTATTTCAACATTTTAGTAGAATTTTTCAAGTATTTGGTTGGAAATCCAAAATCCACAGCCATTCTGTTGTTTGTGTGAGAATGATACGGATTGTTGGTCTCGTAGATTTCTTGGTTCGCTATAAATTGTTCAAAACTATCAGTGCCGTTTGGGCCTTGTATGAGATATCGTTTTTTATATACTGTTCGATAGTAATGGTAGGCAGACCTAAAGCGTTCGTAAGGATCTCTTACTATAGCAATATATACCGTGTCCCTAGGCAGATAATGACCAAATATGGTCTTGTTGAATATCACGTGGTTACACAACATGTCGTATGTTTTGTTTAAAGATGGTGGCAGAATAAGGCGTTTCTCTATACTCGATGAATCACCGCCAAGATAGTTGTTGCCATTCCTCGGCAACACAAAAGTAAGGCCTCTCTGAAATCCAAACCTGTATATTATATTTAAAACCGTTGAGCTAGAAGCTTTGTGAACCTTTAAAAAAGCAATATGGCGGAGTTCATTCGCTGGAAAAGGCGTGGTTAAGTGATTCGATATGATGGCATGGGAATGTCTCAGTTCAAACCGACTGCCAGGTGATAGTTTTATCATGGTTATTGACATCTGTACTTTAATGGTGATAACAATTGACACAATCAACAGGGAAATTAATATGTAGTGTTTCTTTCTGTAAAAAAAAGGAACAAGGTGTACTCGTTTGAATATCTAATGTAAAGTAATATTATATCATTATATCCAATGTCATGTAGATATCATTATATCTAATAGAAAATATATATCATTATATCTAATGTAAAGTATATATTATTGAATGTAATGTAAAGTATATATAATTATATCTAATATTGATACTCTATGCAACCTAAATATTTTGTCTTCTAGAATTTGGATCGAGATAGAATCTTCTCTATGTATATCCAAATAAGGGTCCTAAATATAAATATAAAATAGAATGATTAACTTTACCTTCTCAGCAATGAACATAATCGAATAAAACAACCTTAAAAACAAAACAAAAAGAACCTTTTCATGTGCATTATTTTCGTTATTATCAGATAAGATCATTTTTCGTTTCTTCTTAATATCTAATCCGGATTTAAAAATAAACACAAAAGCAGAGGGCACTTTAGGGGTGCAAGGATCTCTCTCTCTCTCTCTCTCTCTCTCTTCCCTGTGCTGAGAAATGATTAGTTTTGTGGCACATGCTAGAGCGGATTTGAGGTAAATATGAGCAATGGCATTCCATACCTTGACACTTGGTTGAGCGATAATGATTTTGAAGATCTAAACATAATAGTTAGCAACAAGCAGTTTGGCATTGAGTATGCTAGTAGTTAAAAATGTTCCCGTCGCGCATGCTGCAAATTTCCGATACTTTTCATTTTCCTAAATTATTTTAGGGAAATAAATAATGATAAATACGTTAAAGAAGCATTATTCACGCACTAAATCTGCCTAATGTGGATACGCTTGACAGTTAATGATTTAATTTAAAAATGGATAATCGGGACTTTGTTTATTATGTTAGCAACGGTAGCCATAAAGCATTTTGACTGAAATTTTCAACATATTTCCTTTTCATTATCTATCTTTTTTTAAAACTATTTTAGCGAAAACTGTCAGCTCTTTATCCAAATCTAACATAATGCATACTTAATTGATTATGAATGTTATGGAGATGTTAATCCAGCTGTGAAATCTAATCTGAAAGTCGTCATTGTAAATAGATTGGATGCTGGATTCGGAAATAAAATTTACAATGTCGTTTTCACCAGACATTTGTGCCAAACCCTGACACGTAACACGCACAGTTACCATTCAACTGTTTTAGAAAACATTATATGAGTGCTATTGCGAGGCTAAATACGGAATTGTCTGGTGAACTTAAAACTGTCATCGAAAATTAGATACCGACCACTGGTTAACTGGATGACCTGGCGCCTGGTACGTTCGGGCATTTTTATGCGCGAACTCTTAGGTTTTTTTTTACTGGCATGCGCACAGGTACTATTTCTTTTAACAAGTACCCAAATCGGGGATTTCGTGCGGAGGTAGTTTGGAGGTAAACAGTCTGTGAAGTACAACACTTGCCACTGTACCTGTGTATCGCTAATTATAAACCGAATGTGTGAAGACAGTTCATACATATCACTCAAAAAATTTTCAGTACAAACTCAGTTGATTCACGCTCGATTTGCTACTAAACAAACCCATCGGTTTATTTTCTCAACAGTGTGACCCGAAGTGACCGCGGATTTATTGACCTTGTATGAACTTATCCATAGCTATATCCTTACACCGAGAGAAATTATCTAGTCTCGGTGAAAAGAACCATGGTCATCTGGTAGAAAATTACTTTTGTATTTTTTGGAACGGAAAACAGTGTTTTTAGAAGCAAACTAACCTGCCGCACATGAGGAAGTCATTATACTAATAATAAAAGGCGAGACCTCTTTTTGCGGCGCAGGCTTATCACTGAGTAGTAAACCGTCCACAAACAATAATATAGGAAGCCTAGTGACGAGTGTAGTAAGTAGGCTATAGACTATAGGTTTGAGTCGAGATTACTCGCTTTCAGTTTACTCTGTTTTTGCGATAACCAATTATGTGAGAAATACCATACTGACATTCGGTTTTTAAAAGTTGTACGCGAACTAAATGCGTTTGTTAGATACTGACAGAGCAGCCCCGAGTCGAACAATCGCAGCCCGAGCTGTCTTCGTCAGCTAGTTTCACAATATCGTGCAATAGGTGTATTAATGTGATTTTTAGGTTTAACCCCACAAACAATGCCAAAATAGTGTTTTCACTGCTTACAGAAAATTGAAATTTAAAAAAAAATTTTTTTATGAGGGTGACCCTCCCATACACTCCCTATCGAGCTGCCGCTCGGTCTGCGCAGCCTCATGCCTGGCACATACTGTCAACATTGAATATTTTTCCGTTTCCGCCCTTCCCCCCACAATATATATTTCACGGCTACGTTGCGACAGTACCAGCATACCCAGTTGTTGACACCCATTACATCACTCCTGTCTAACAAATCATAAAGCTGTGGTGTTACGGTGGCGGCATAGTATTTCACCGTAACACCACAGCCACTCTAACCATTCATAATACATCTAACTATCCCTTTACAGCACTTCACTCCCTACACATTTCCCCTCGTCCTACTTTCCCAAACGTCAACAACACATCTCATACATCCAGTTCGCTGATTAACCCTTGTACCACGTCTACTGGTTTCTAATCCCACCGAGGGCGAGAGTTAACTGCCAGCGAGGAGTGTGCGATGGGAGTGTCCATAACGTTTCCAGCCTCCCTTAGTAATATGCGATTTATATGAAAATTGTGATGGATTGGATGTTGGATTCCGAAATAAAACTTACAATGTCGTTTTCACCAGCCATTTGTGCCAAACCCTGACACGTAACAAGCACAGTTACTATTCAACTGTTTTAGAAAACAATATATGAGTGCTAAATACGGAATTGTTTGGTGAACTTAAAACTGTCAACTTAAAAATCGAAACCGAAATTAGAGAAATTTAAATATCGGCTACATTCATCGATCACCTACAGCGTTAACTGGTTTCAAGTCCCACCGAGGGCGAGAGTTAACTAGCAGAGAGGAGTGGGCGATGGGAGTGTCCATAACGTTTCCAGCCTCCCTAATTAATATGCGATCTATATGAAAATTGTGATACTTATGTTTCAACATACCCCCCCCCCCCCCCCTGTCCCCATTCCTTGACATCAATCCCCCCGTTTCAGCTTTTCTCCGCCATATTTAACTAGTCAGAATACCAGTTTTTCAAATAATCCTAAACATATCCTTCACGGTAGTGGTGACCTGCGGATATATTTGAGTTGTCAGGGGAGCAAGATCTAGCGAATGGGCTTGGTAAGAGTGGACCTTGAAACCACATAGTCCTTTTAAAATATTTTAACTTGCATAAGCTTTTAAAAATCAGATTTTCTGTACAGACGGGTAAAGTGAAAAATGAAAATTTAAATAGTAATTTGGGAGATAAAACATTTTTGCCTTCTAGCCGGCAAAATGAATGCCTACGGCTTTGATGGGGTCAAGTGTACAAAGACGCCATTTTGGGTCCCATACTGTTTGTGTTGAAATTTCTGAAACTTGTGTTGAAATTTCTGAAACTCGTGTTGTTTCGTACAAACTTGTGTATAACAAAAACTTGTGTTGTATTTTACCAATTTATATCCAGTATAGCAACCTTTCGAATGCAACCCCTTTCATTCGTTCTGTTTAAACTGTGATTATTGATAAATGACATAATAATTTTGTTTGTTAAATTATTATTTATTCAATAAATGATATGAAAAAATAAATTAATGCCAATACCAATCTCGAAGGTTAATAAACAAAGTTAATTCCAATACTAATAAAATTGTGTTATACAATGAAAAAATACCCCCCCCCCCCCCATTCCCAATTATTAAATAAAAAGTAGCTATTTAAATTGAAAAATAAAGCACCGAGACATTTGAAATATTAATCAACAAAGTTAATTTCAATACTAATAAAATTATGTTCAATAATAACAATATCCCCCCACCCCTCAAAAAAAGCTATTTATTTTTTTTGATAAATGACATAATAATTTTGTTTGTTAAATTATTATTTATTCAATAAATGATATGAAAAAATAAATTAATGCCAAATTAATGCCAATACCAATCTCGAAGGTTAATAAACAAAGTTAATTTCAATACTAATAAAATTGTGTTATACAATGAAAAAATACCCCCCCCCCCCATTCCCAATTATTAAATAAAAAGTAGCTATTTAAATTGAAAAATAAAGCACCGAGACATTTGAAATATTAATCAACAAAGTTAATTTCAATACTAATAAAATTATGTTCAATAATAACAATATCCCCCCACCCCTCAAAAAAAGTTATTTATTTTTTTTTTACAATTAACCTTAAAAAGAACTGAGAATATAATATATATGTTCACAATATCCTTACCTCATGGTCCCAAAACATACATTTTAAATATATCTATATTTAATATCAACCAAATTAAGCACTAAAGACATTAATAATGCTCTAAATTGAAATACTTTTAAGAAAAAATAGTCCCTTTAACAGATTAGGAATTCAAAATTTTCTACAGTATATAAATGGGAACTAATAGATAAAGCACAGGCAAATAATTATAGATAGATATAATAAATATAGCATAAAAATCAAACAAAATGGAGAAAATTAAAAATTTGTAAAACAAAAATTGATTAATTAATAAAACCATTTTATATAAAAGAGGCATTAACATTCGAAATGTTCACTAAATGTTTAAAAATATAGGTTGATTTCATCCTACAATAATACATTTTTATAATTATCGAATGTTACTATTAATTATTGATGATCCCTCTATATTATTTCAAGTTTTCAGGCCAAATCTTTAGTGTTTAGGATTACACTGCATTCTATATAATGAAACAATATTAGAGATTGTTTGGTATTTGACATTAAAAACAAAAATGTGATTAAAAAGGCAATGGTGACATATAACTTTTGAGCTTCCACAATAATATCTGTAAAAGAATTTGATTTCTTTATATTCAGAATTTAGAGTTGTTTTCTTTCTTTGGTATTAATATTCACTAAATAGATATAATTCCCCACGGATGTTCAAGTGATTATTATAAATACACTTATCGACAATTGGGGTTTTGATGTGGATTTAACTTGGTACACCAGTCATGGGTATAGAGTTATTTAGATGGCAGAATAAAAGTAAAATAACTCATTGAGCAGGGGGCGGCGGCGGGGGCGGGGGAGTTGAAAAGAGCATAATTTAACAATATATTATATTATTTTGAGACTCATATGTATGACTACATGCGAATGCAAGATGGGGGGGGGAGTATTTTATTCAGGTAGCATTATTACTTACTCATGTACACCAAAATCACGTCATCTCGCCTAAACAGGTGTTTTACGCCAAAACGCTTCAACTTGAT